AATCTAGGACAGTTTAGGGGATGGCAGAAGCAAGGGCCTAAAGAGTTTCACAGTGGCCAAAATGTACTGCAATTAACGGGCAGGAGGAACTTGTTGTGGGGCAAAAGGACAAGTCTGGTGTGAATATGATTCTCAGTCTGAGTGGATCCAAGGGGGTGAAGTAGTTGAGTCCCCTAAGTTGTTGAGGAAGTGGGGAGGGAAATCAGTTAGGTTAGAGCCTAGCAAAACCAGGGCCAAACCAGGGAGGTGTTGATTGCTGAGCCTGGAGTGTAGAATTGTCTGAGCCACAGAAAGATGATGATTATTCCTCCCCTAGTATCTGATGTTGGTGACCTTGACTTCTCTGAACCCCTCAGATCCCCAGAACCAGCTCTGTGATGATAAGTGAAGTCTAGGGACTGACTAGACACATGAGCCTAGATCTGTGCAAAGAGCCCCATGACCCAAATGGGAGAGGTCCAGGGCCTGGTTCCATCTTCCCTCCCTCTCTTGATGTGTGGCCTTGCTCAAGGCGTTGGATTGCAGTGGACCTCCATGTCCTTCTTTTGGAAAACAGAGTTAACAATACCTGCCCCATTCAGAGGAGAAATGAGGTCATGTTTGTGCAACATTGTGAGCTCACTGGAGACAATGAGTGTATTCTTCTTACCAGTAACAATAATAATCATTACTGCAAATCTAACCAGTAAATATATCTCCTCAAAGCTGGAGTTGGCCCCTCAGTAGGATAGCAATTAAAGTTTTTTTAAAAAAATCTCTAGGTGGGGGAATTTTCTGGCCGCATTTTGATCTCTGGGGTTGATATCATTGTGGGAGGGAGAGAGGCCTGCAGCAATCATTCCTCTTAGTTCCATTCAGTTGTACTTTTTTTTATCTCTCTTGTCCTTGAGTTCTCCTCAGTGGGTTTTGTGATTTCTCATCCTCCTTCAGCCCTAAAGGAAAGAAGCCCCTAAACTCCCCATCTCCATATTCACCCACTGTCCCATTCACTCACATAGTGACCTGGCTACTGGAGATCCTGGGCATTCGAGCATTGGCCACAAACAAAGTGGTCTGTCTTGAGTACTTGATTCTCTTTCCTGCTCATCCCACTTAGTGAGCCAGTGATTCCCAAGCTGAGCTGTGCATTCAGAGCCCCTAGGAGTGGGTCCATGGATTCTCAGGTGATTCTAATTTAGTCAGTCCAGCACCTGTCTGAATTTGACAATTGCAAGGTTTTCAATCATTGGTTGTAAAATGTGTGTCCAAAGAAGAGTGATGCTTATACAAAGGCATTTTGGCAGCTTGGGTCAAGCTGGCAAAAGACCCTCTCTCCTGCCACAATCCACAAAATGACAGAAAAACTCTTGGAACAAATAAAATAGTAAATTCAATATCATGTGATGAAACAAGAATTATCAGCAGATCAGAAATGTTGGATCTCTGAGAGATAAACAATGTCAAAGCTATAAAGAGGTCGAGAGCGGTGGCTCACGCCTGTAATCCCAGCACTTTGGGAGGCTGAGGTGGGCGGATCACTTGAGGTCAGGAGTTCAAGACCAACCTGGCCAACATGGTGAAACCCCATCTCTACTAAAAATACAAAAAAAAATTAGCTGGGCATGGTGGTGTGCACCTGTAATCCCAGCTACTCAGGAGACTGAGACAGAAGAATCACTTAAACCCAGGAGGCAGAGGTTGCAGTGAGCTGAGATCATGCCACTAGACTCCAGCCTGGGTGACAGAGGAAGATTCTGTCTCAGAAAAATAAAGAAAAAAAGCTATTAAAAAAATAAAACTGGCAGGGTACAGTGGCTCACGCCTGTAATCCCAACACTTTGGGAGGCCAAGGCAGGCAGATCATTTGAGGTCAGGAGTTCGAGACTAGCCTGGCCAATATGGTAAAACCCAGTCTCTACTAAAAATGCAAAAATTAGCCAGGTGTGGTGGTGGGTGCCTGTAATCCTAGCAACTCAGGAGGCTGAGGCAGGAGAATCTCTTGAACCCAGGAGGCGGAGGTTGCAGTGAGCCAAGATCATGCCATTGCACTCCAGCCCAGGCGACAGAGCAAGACTCTGTCTAAAAAAAGAAAAAGAAAAAAACGGAAGGAAACCACAGCTAAAACATGCAGAAGACCGCTATGGAAAAAAGAGTGGTTTGGGGGACTTCAAGCCTGAGACAACAGACTCAAAGGAACCGGGGGAAGTCCCAGGGGTATTCCTGAACACCAGTGTCCAACAGCTAGCAGCAGTGGATTTGCCTCAAGGTGCTGGCCTAGAGAGGTGAGCAGTACTCCAAGTAGCTACTGACACTCTGGGAGAGGAATAGGGACCCCTGAGCCAAGAGAAAAGCTGACAGCAGGCCACTTACCATTGTCCCACACCCTGTAGCAGGGACAGGCTACAGTGAACAGAAAGCTGGCAAATTAAGGAAGAGCAGAACATCAGTAATCACCAGAAATTTCATGAAAAATATAGCCATGATAGGGAGTAGCTCTAAGCCAATATTGCCCATAGAACTTTCTATAATGATGGAAATGTTCTATATTTGAGCTGTCCAGTATGTAGCCATATACCACATGTGGCTATTGAGCAATTGAAGTGTGGCTTCTGCAACTGAGGAACTGAATTTTTAATCTAATTAAGTTTTAATTAAATTTAAGCAGCAAGGCTCTACTATATTGGATAGCATAGCTCTAAACTTAACATGTGGAAGCATTAATACCCAAAGTAATAGAGATAATAGAGCAAATAAAAACAGAAACCAATACAGAAACCAATTTAGTTATTATCTTCAAGAGATGCAAAATAATATTAAAGCCATTTAAAAGAATCAACCAGGAGTCTGAGAAATTTAAAAATTGATAATTGAAATTCAAAACTCAGTAGATGGTCTAGATAGGTTTCATGATCTGGTTATCAGGAAGACTGACCTGGGAAAGTCTCCTTAAGCACAGTAAAAAAGATAAAATGACAGAAAGTCTGAGAGAAAAAAATTAAGAACCATCTGTGGGATAGGCATTACAGAAAGCTAGAGCTTCAGAGAATAGAAGAGGGAAAATAATTAAAGAACTAACAAAAGAAAATTTCCCAATTGCTGAAGAAAGAAATTAATCATTAACTTGACCTTTCCCAGGAAAAAAGACTTACACCTACAGATATTATAGTAAAACTTTATAGCAATAAAAATAAAAGAAGAAAAAAGCTTAGAAGCTTCTGGAGAGAAAAAAGCAGGTCTTCAATAGAATAATATTAAATTGGCATCAGACTGGATGTTAAAAGACAATGAAATATTATCTCCAAGGCTCTGAAGGGAAATGAAGTATTCAAGTGGGAGAGGAAAATTAAGATTTTTTTTTTTTTAATACTGAAAAAATATATTTTTTTTTTTTACAGGAAGAAAGTTTGCCACCCTAAAGAATGTCCAGGGGAGGTGCTTCAATAGAAAAATAGTGAATTCAGGAAAGAGGAAGACGTGGGATGCCGAAACTGTGGTGAACAAAGAACCTAGTAAAACTTTTAGTGAAGTCTGAGTAATTATTGAGGCATAATGTAAACATTTTAAAAATAACAATTTGGAGCAATAATCTACCCAGATGATCTCAACTTGGGAGGTGGCAGGTGGGGGAGGAGGAAGAAAGTTAAATAATGCTAAGGGAGAAAAAATTCCTGCCTGATCAGCTCTAGACATTGATAGAAAACCAGAAGTTAAAGAACATAGGATTCATCTGCCTTGGAGGGTATGGAAGAAAAAAAAAAAGATTCAAATTTAAAGATAATCAACAGAAGATGGAGAATTGGAAAATCAACTTCCAGGTCAATAGAGTGAATTAAAAAGATGGGGAAGGGGGCAAAGAAAACTTCATCAATCTAACAAAAAGCAGGGAAAGAGGAAAAAGATAAGAAGAAAACAAGGTAAAGAGGAAGCATAAAATAAAATGACAGGGTAAGTCTAAAAATATCATTAATAATACATGAGAAAAGAGAAAACTTCCCATTAAAGGGCAAAATCCTTCTATACATATGATGTTTATACAGATGTATTGAAATTGACAAGAGCATTTTGAATACAAACAGATAGGGGAAATATATTAAGCAAATGATAACAGAAAAGAAATATATTAGTATCAGACAAAATGACATTCGAAGGCAAAAAGCATTAAAAGAAACAAAGAAAGTCTGGGCATGGTGGCTCATGCCTGAAATCCCAGCACTTTGGGAGGCTGAGGTGAATGGATCACTTGAGGTCAAGAATTTAAGCCCAGCCTGGCCAACATGGTGAAATCCCATCTCTACTAAAAATACATGCCTGTAGTCCCAGCAACTTGGGAGACTGAGGTGGAAGGATTGCTTGAGCCTGGGAGGCAGAGGTTGCAGTGAGCGAAGATTGCACCACTGCACTCCAGCCTCAAAAAAGAGTCAGGCACTGTGGCTCGTGCCTGTAATCCCAGCACTTTGGGAGGCTAAGGTGGGAGGATGGCTTGGGCCCGGGAGCTCAAGACCAGCCTGGGCAACGTGGTGAAACCCTGTCTCTACAAAAAATACAAAAATTCGTCGAGCATGGTGATGCATGCCTGTAGTCCCAGCTACTCAGGAGGCTGAGATGGGAGGATCACCTAAGCCCAGCAGGTCCAGGCTGCAATGAGCCGTGATTGCACCACTATACTCCAGTCTGGGTGACAGAGGAAGACTCAGTATCAAAACAAAACAGAACAAAGGGAATAGATTAAATTTTAAATCACCACTGAGATAAGTATGTACTGAGCCTTTTCAAAGGAGGCCCTGAGGCTCTGGGAGGTACAGCCACTTAAGGAAGGTCACACAACAAGGAAATGGCCCAGAAGAGATCAGAACTTCCATTCTGTCTCCAGAAGCCTTGCTTTCCCTCTCTGTTGCTGGCTAAGTGCTGAGTGACTCACCTTGTGGCTGCTCCTGGAGGGCCTGAAGAGGCCAGAAAAGCAGGGCTGCCACATACCCTCTGCCCACCCAGGGGACACGGGCTTATGTGTAGCTGAGACCCACCTGAGCCGTGGCTGGGCAGGAAATGGTCCAGGAAGGCCGGCTTTTTCTTCCGCCGTTTGCTCTCGATGCCATGGGGGTCTGAAGGAAGGCAGAGATGAGGACCCCTGGACCCCGACAGCCCTTCCTCCCCAGCCTGGGGTGGGACAGGGCAGTGGGGTCAGCCGTCCCCTCCCCAGAACCTGGGGATGGGGGTAGTAAGGGGCAGAGGCCACACACCAGAGCTGTTCAGCTCCCCAAGGACGTCAGGCATCCCCCGTTTCCGCTTCTTGTCTACGCCATAGCTGTCTGTTGAGGAGATACCAGGGACACACAAGAAGTAACCCATCAGTAATAATTAATTACTTTATTTATTTTTTTATTTTAGAGACAGAGTCTTGCTCTGTTGACCAGGCTGGAGTGCAGTGCCACAGTCTGGCTCAATGCAGTGTCCCCTCTCACAGGTTCAAGTGATTCTCCTGCCTCAGCTTCTCATGTAGCTGGGATTATAGGAGTATGTCACCACATCCGGCTAATTTTTGTGGTTCTTTTAGTAGAGATGGGGTTTCACTATATGTCAGCCAGGCTGGCCTTGAACTCCTGACCTCAAGTGATCCACCCACCTCGGCCTCCCAAAGTGTTGGGATTACAGGCGTAAGCCACTGAGCCTGGCCTACTATATTTTTAATGGAGTCTTGGCTGGGAGCAGTGGCTCACGCCTGTAATCACAGTGCTTTGGGAGACCAAGGCGGGCAGATCACCTGAGGTCGGGAGTTCGAGACCAGCTGGACCAACATGACAAAACCCGGTCTCTACTAAAAATACAAAAATTAGCCGGGTATGGTGGCAGGCACCTGTCATCCCAACTGCTCGGGAGGCTGAGGCAGGAGAATCACTTGAACTTGGGAGGCAGAGGTTGCAGTGAGCCAAGATCGTGCCTGGGTGACAGAACAAGACTCTGTCTCAAAAAAAAAAAAAAAAAAAAAATGGTGGAGTGCAGCGTCACAATCTTGGCTCCCCGCAACCTCCACCTCCCAGGTTCAAGTGATTCTCTGTCTCAGCATCACGACTAGCTGGGATTACTACATGTATGCGCTACCATGCCCAGCTAATTTTTGTATTTTTAGTAGAGCCAGGGTTTTGTCGTGTTGGCCAGGCTGGTCTCGAACTTCTGACCTCAAGTAATCTGCCTGCCTCGGCCACCCAAAGTGTTGGGATTACAGGTGTGAGCCACCTCACCAGGCCTACACACTGGCCTCTCTGTTGTTTCTGGAGCACCCCAGGCACAAACCAGCCTCAGGATCTTTGCACCTGCTATTCCAGCTGTTTAAAACACTCTCTAGAGAACTTCCCTGCTTAGTTATCCTCCTGCCCTCAGGTCAGCTGTCCCCTCCTCCAGGAAGCCTTCCCTGACCCCACAGCTGGGTCAGGTGCCCTCTTTGGGCAATGCAAGCCCTTGAGCACTTCATTCCAGTCCTGCCACTCTGATCATCATTGTGGGGGATCAGGCTGTTCCCCATTCTCAGGACTATACGCTTCATGAGGACACAGCTAGGGGCTGTGTTGGTCACTACTGTGTCTCTAGCACTACCGAGAAAAGGGTCAGGTGTGTGCAGGATGCTGAGGGGGTGAAAGATTAAACACTTTTCAAATGCCAGGAGACAGCTACTGTTTCTTCCATTTTGCACAGGAGAATGAGGCTGAGAGAGGCCAAGGCCACACAGCCAGTAAGCAGCAGAGCCAGGATCTGAACATTGTCTTTGTAGCTCCGAGCCTGCACTCTAGTTTCGGCCTCCTTCCCATCCCCGCTGAGGTCACCCCAAGGCCGAAGACCTAGTCTCCGAGGTGGTGGGTCACCCTGGGTCACTGTAGTTACCATGGTCCCGAGGCAGGTACGTGAAAGGCAATGGCTCGCTGCAGACCCCATCGGTGAGCCGCTGCAGGAAGACGTTGACTGTCACTGGCTCGACAATCTCCAGGTCCTCGTAGGGCGGCGTCTTGAACACAATGGCAATCTGGCGGTGCACGTCGGCCTGGGAGAAGTCAGCCCGACCTTCCCAGGAGGCTGTGCTGAACACCACTGATATGTCCTCTGGCAGGAAATGGGGGACAACAGCTAAGCCAGGACATCTGGGCCACTGCACTCCCAATCTGCCCAGCCTCCCCTAAAATCAAGACTAATATTCCTTTTTTTTTTTGATACAGAGTTTTGTTCTTGCCCAGGCTAGAGTGCAATGGCACAATCTCCACTCAAGGAAACATTCACCTCCTGGGTTCAAGCAATTCTCCTGCCTCAGTCTCCGGACTAGCTGGGATTACACTGC